TTGTTATTGTTATTGTTGTTGTTGTTGTTGTTGTTGTTGTTGTTGTTGTTGTTATTGTTATTGTTATTGTTATTGTTATTGTTATTGTTATTGTTATTGTTATTGTTATTGTTATTGTTATTAGGCATATCTGGGGAAAAGACAGAGGAAAAGGGAGGATTCCCTTTATCTCAGCTTGTGATGGTCATACTGATTCTGCATTGAGCCCACCTGATTTGTGTAGTTCTTATTAATAGTCATGATTGTTGTCTTCCTAATGTTCACGTGTAGTCCTGCTTGCTTCTTTCATGTTCGTTTTTTCAAGTCATTGCTGCTTTCTGCTAGTAAGATGGTCTCATCTGCATATCTTAAATTACCGATGCATTTCCCAGCAATACAGTATATCACAGAAGAGAGTACAGCCCCTCACATTTCATAAATATTTTGGTATATCTTTCCATGTGACAACACTGAAGAAATAACACTTGGCTACAATGTAAAGCAGTAGGTATACAGCTTGTACAACAGTGTAAATGTGCTGTCCCCTCAAAATATTGCAACACACAACCATTCATGTCTAAACTGCTGGCAAAAGTGAGTACACCCCTAAGTGAAGGAAGGAATGAAGGAATGAAGGAATGAAGGAAGGAAGGAAGGAAGGAAGGAAGGAAGGAAGGAAGGAAGGAAGGAAGGAAGGACGGACGGACGGACGGACGGACGGACGGACGGACGGACGGATGGATGGATTTTCATCTCTTTGGTCATGAAACTCATTGAGTGGCCTTGGACCAGTCTCACAATCCTAGCCTGACATGCCTCATAGGGGTGTTATGAGGAAAAAACAGGGAGAGGGAGAAGAGAGCACTGTAGCCCATCCAGAGGCAGGAAAGGAGAAATGAAATGTAACAAATAGTTGGAAGCAAAAGATTATCTCAAAGCAGGGGGAAATGCAAAATGTGGACCAGCTGCTATAAGGAACCTCTACTTCTGCAGCTGCAGAAGTGCCCAGTTATTCTGAATTGTTTCAGCAGGCTACTTTCATCTCCTAGAACCCTGGAGTCCCCAGGAGCCCTTTGTGAGATTGTGCACACAGTGCAGGACCTTCTGAGCCAACAGGCGAAGGAATGGAATAGCTGAGGTACCTTGCAGTCACAGCCGATGGGCTTTTTGCATTCCTCACAGGTGTTGGAGTAGAGGCTCTCATAGCACTTGATGCAATAGGGGTTGTCCTCCCGCAAGATGTACTTCTTGCCATACAGGGTCTCCTTGCAGTAGTGGCAGTCAAAGCGTTCTGTCATGTTGACATGTAGGATTTTGTCCACCTGGCAACAAGAAAACAAGCAGCATCAAGTTAAGATGAAGTTGTCTCTAATCTTATAAAAGGTGATATTTTGGAACAAAGGGCTCATCTATACTGGCCCTCTTGGAGTGGGCTGGTGTGGTCTAAATAGGGTTGCTTGAGATGGGTAGAGGTGTGATATGCCATTTGGTGCATCCAAATGACATATGGACCTCAAGCAACCCTATTTAGTTTGGCTCTTTCTGCTGTCAATTTCCTGTAGTTTTAAGTGGCTTCATAAGTGAGCTACTTCAGCATATTAGCAAACTGAACACTTCCTGTGCTCCTCATCAGAGAGATTTAATATTCTGGGTGGTAGATATGGTTCCTGTGAAGTATGAGAGGTCCTTACTGAGAAGAGAAATTGATTGGATATTGAGGTTGAACACTTTAGCCCCTTTTGGGCTAAATGAAGAAAGAGATTTCTTACCCTTACTATAGCACAGCCCCCACTGCCTTGCTCATTATCTCACTGTCCTTGACATGCCTGCCAACTGAGAATAAATAGATACCAGCCCTTCTGTATCGGCACTTCGGATTAATGTTGGAGCTAAAGTTCTAAAGTCTTGGTATGTATCTTATATGTTGTCATTAATCTTGTCCTTATTGATCTTGTTATGTGCATATTCATTAATATTTCATATTGTCAACTCTATAGATAATATATATCATATATAAACACCCCAGTTGACAATGGATGATTTTAACAGATTTCATCCAATCACCAGTATCCCTTTTCTGGGCAAGGTGATCAAGTGGGTCATGGTGGACCAGCTCCAACGTACTTGTAGGAGCAAGACTGCCTTGATCCATTCCACTCTGGATTCAGGCTGCTACGGGGTACTGAGGTGACACTGGTCGCACTGCAGGTTGACTTGTAAAGGGAGGCCGACTGGTACAAAAATACTCTGCTGGTCCTCCTTGATCTCTCAGTGACTTTTGATAATGACAACCACGTTATCATCCTGGGCAGGCTCTCAGAGACTGGGATTGAGGGGCTGGCATTCAGCTGACTCTGGTCTTTTCTCGGGGACTATATCCAGAGAGTTCAGCTTGGGGATGATTTGTCATCTTCTTGGACTCAGTTATGGGGGTGCTCCAAGGATTGTCAGTATTTCCAATGCTAATTAATATCTATGTGAAGCTGACGGGGGAAGTCATAAGGAGATTTGGAGTAAGGTGTCATCAGTATGCTGATGACACACAACTCTGTCTCTCCTTTTCCACTTCTACAGTGGATGCCATCCAGATGCTCAAGTGCACCTAGCTTCAGTACTGGAATAGACTAGGGCCAACCGGCTCAAACTGAACTTGGACAAGACTGAGATTTTGTTCCTGGGGACACACTCAGACAGGTTGGGTGGGTTAACCCCTAGACTGGATGGTTTTGCCTTCCCATTTAGGGATAAACTACATAATCTAGGTATTCTTCTGGGCCCGGCTTTTTCTTGGGACTCCCAGATCACAACCATGTCCAGATCAGGCTTTAACCAGCTGAGCCTTATCACCCAACTCCACCCTTACCTTGACAAGGGTTCCCTCAGGACATTAGTGAACGCATTGGTCATCTCTCAAATTGACCATTGCAATGCTTTCTACATGGGGCTCCCCTTGAACCTGACCTGGAGTGACTGGTGTGAGCAAAGTTGAGCATATCTCTCCAATTCTGGCTTGCCTGCACCACCGTGTCCCAGAGTAGGCTCAAGATTTTGACTCTTGCATACGAAGCACTCCACGGTTTGGGACCATGTCCCTTGTAGGAGCGTCTGACCCCAATCTCATCTGCCCAACTCACCAAACCCTCCCAAACCAGGCACTTACAGGTGGCTACCCTGAGGGAGGCCTGAAAGTTTTCCACTAGAGCCAGAGTCTTCTCCGCGGTGGCCCCAGCTCTATGGAATCAGCTTCTGCAGAAGCTACGCTTGGCTCCCTCCCTCTTGACATTTAGAAGAAACTTAAGACCTTTCATTTTAGGGATGCCTTTCATACCAACCTGTATCGATATTTTGTTCCTCCCCTGTTCTGCTGCTTTTGTATATTGTTACAGTGCCATTGGGTTTTTATTCTGTGAGTGTTTTTATTTGCTTTTGTACTGTTATCAACCTGCTATTAAACCACTCATAATAGTGCTTTAGCACTAATGAGGTGGCAAATAAATAAATAAATAAATAAATAAATAAATAAATAAATAACTAAATAAATAAATAAACAAACAAATAAACAAGCAAGCAAGCAAGCAAGCAAGCAAGCAAGCAAGCAAGCAAACCTTCAATACTTTGTTCCACCTTCCCTTGCTATGCTACTGTACGTTGGGAAATTTGACCTTGGGCATGTTCAGAATGTGTCCCCCACACTTCTTGCAACACAGTGAACTCAAAGCTACATGAATAGACCTGGCACATTGTTCAGAACCTGGCACACGAGGTTGACTGACTTCTCCCAATGCTGACGATGCCAACTTTGTTCTGGTGTTCCTTTGTCTTGAGATCTGCCACATGTAACTTAAAAGCAAATAAAACTCTGAGAAAGAATCTGACTTCCTTATTAGTATGTAGATAGTAATTTTCCCTGTCTCAGTGTAACGTATTTCTTGATCTCAATGTAAGATATTGTAGGAATGAAACAGACTTTCTCTATGTGGGTGCACCTGCTACTTTTAAATGTAATAAGCAGATGTTGATGGGGGGGGAAGGGAGAGATATATTATTGTATATGGTGTCATTATATACCAACCTCACTCAGCTTGGTGCTATGCTGGTTTAGGACTATGGGAGTTGTGGTCTAACACATCTGTAGGACACTTTACACCCAGAACATAAACCAGAGACAGTTAATTGTGTAACACCATATCAAAGAAATCTATAGATATGAAGGATACAGATTAATTCTTAATGGAGCTTTAAGGCTGCAATTCTGCACCTGCTCACCTGGAAATAAGGTACACCAAAATCAGTGGGGCTTAGTTTTGAGTACCTATGCATGGGATCACATTATACATATCTTGTTTTGCTAGATACAGTAGTGTCCCAAACCCTCAAGTTCTCCTGGATATCGATAAATCTAATTTCATAGATGCATCCCAGGGTAAAGAAGGTGAATATTCAATTTCTATTAAAGAGCACTGTTGTTTTTACACCCTCCCGACAATATTTTAACCCTGCAGCAGTCCAAGGTGTCATGAGTCAAAGGCAAAGGTAGTATAAGCAAAAATGGGAAGGGAGGGGGTGGCCCAGCAATGCAGTAAATCATGTCAATGCCTCATGCATAAAATGGCAATATAAATATCCATAAACAAATGAAACTAAATGTGGAAGTGTGTGTTGATTCACCTAGATGCTTTCCCCCCCTTTAAACAGAGCCTGCTTCTACTGTATATATTATAGAAGCGTTAGAGATACTGAACAAAAAAAAAGAGAAAGGGAGAGCATGCCTACTGTACCAGTACATTAAATATCTTGAAATCAAATTACAATGAATTTTGGAGCCTTCTTTTAGCTATTTTGTGCTGTGGGCATAGATGTGTGCAAGCAGTAATAAATGGGACACAGCTACCTTTGTTTTCAGAGCTTCTGCTACTGGAAGAATTAATGAGGTCCTTTGTTGCTCTAGAAAGCAGGAAGTGTTCAGAGGTGTAAAGAAGGAAAAATTTGAACTCTCACTTATTTATGCTCTTCCCTGGGGCTTATCCAGCATGGCATGGGGGGGTGAAAATTGTCTCCACCTGAACTGACACAACGCCCGGAAAATTGTCTCCATGTGAACTGACACAATGCCCCGTCCTCTCTCGCTCACATACCTCACAGAGACACAGAGCAGTTTCCCGAAAGGCAACAATAATGATTCCTATATCCCACATTTCCAGTGGGGGAAAGGGGGGAACAGCCCTATTGCCTCAGCGTATCAAACCTTTTCTGGGCAAATAGGGTTGTTGTTTTATCCTATACAAGCCATTGTTCCTGCTTATCCAGCATCACACTCCCATCACACATCTTTTCCTTTGTTATTCCCAGCAAAACCTCCAAGGGGTTCATTGTTGATTTTGGGGGAGGGAAGGGAGGGGTGGAAGGGACAAAAAGGGACATCTACTTACAGGCAGGTAGTGAAGGGTACCCTCTGGAGTTAGGATAGGGAGTCACATCCGTGAACAAATGGGAAAGGCAACGACCGGCGGGATGAGAAGAGGAGGTGCCCAGCGAAGCTAGCCGGGGAATCCTCTCCTCTGTGAAGGCAGCGCTTCTAATACTCTCTGTTCAGCCGTCTGTGTTGTGTGGAAACAGGCGTCTGCCTTCACAGCCTAGTGAAAAACCCCTGTGTATCATTTTACCATATAAGGAGACAAAAGCACGAAGAGACACTCACTCTTTGAGGCTCGTTGCAGCTGGCACCCAACTTTATCCTAAGGGAACACAGGCTCTGTACACCGACCTCTTCCAAATCACCATGGCCCTTTACAGGTCCCACCTTTGCATGTGTCTTTACAAATATCTATCTATCTATCTATCTATCTATCTATCTATCTATCTATCTATCTATCTATCTATCTATCTATCTATCTATCTATCTATCTATCTATCTATCTATCTGTCTGTCTGTCTGTCTGTCTGTCTGTCTGTCTGTCTGTCTATCTAGTCATTGCTGGTGCTTGATATTCAGTATTGCTTCCCTAAGCAGTGTCCTTCAATCCATGCATTTGCAGCTGGGAAAGCTGGCTTAGCATCAAGTGCTTCCTTACACGTACAAGCACACATGTGCAGCTCCCCCCTCCCCCCACATGGTTCCTCACCACATAAAAGTAATAAACAAGAGGATTATTACTTTATCTGTTTGTGTTGCCTGTACTGCCTACTGTAACTTAACCCAGTGCCTATGGCAAGGTTGATCAAAGGTCATAAGGTTTTGGGAGCATGTAGAAAATGAGGTCATAACTTTTAATCTGACTTATTCTTGCAAATGAATGGGGGGGGGAATATTTTTTTTCCTCAC